CACTCGCCTCTTGGACAGCACTCAGTTTATTAACAATCTTCTCTAAAGCAGCAGCAAATGGCACCTAAGGAAAGCAACAAAGGTTAAGTATAGCAATACTGTACTAGTACCTCTGGGTTGGTCCGTCTTCTCTTTCCAGCTTTAGCTTTTTTCTATAAATAAACAATACATGTACATGTACATGTATGTTCAGGTGCTTTATACATGTAAGTTAGGTTTTACCTCTAAATAATCTAATTGTTCATCTCCTTGCTTCTTTCTTTTACGAACTAATTAAGACAAAAAAAAGAAAAAAAAATAGAGGGGGGAAGAGTTTTTAGATTACAGTAATTCATTAAGTTCATTACTCTTTTCTTTAGGGAATTTCAGTACTAATGATCTTCTCCTAACATCTTCAGCACTGCAATAATAATAAGTTATATCTCATTATCTCTCATTTTCTCTCTTACTGTTCAAGTAAATCTTTCTTAAGTACAACTTTAGTCCCTTCCACTTTAACAAGGTTATCTTGGACCAGTGGTACCTCACTGGTAGCAGCTGCTAACTCGTCATTGGTAGGAGCAACCTAATATGTACATTAGTATACATGTACATTGTACCTGAACAGGTTGATTCTTGTATTTTGGACAGTTTTTATTAGTTTTCATGTGACCTTTCTGACCACAAGCACTACATGTTAACTGGAGAAAAGACAGATCAAAAATAGATGAAGATCAAAATAAATGAAGATGAAGATACATGTAGTCATGTACATGTACATACAGTATTAAATAGATGTTAACAATATTATACTAACATGCATGGCAGTAAATTCTTTATTCTTTTTTGGTTTCTGAGGCTTTTGTTTAGCTCTCTCTTCAGCTCTGTCCAACTGCCTAATAGCTCACTGTAAAAAACAGGAAGAAAGAGGAAATCAATTAAAAATAAAATAAATAATAGTTGTCATTCTATGTCTGACTCTCCTCTTATCTCAGATTATCATTTTTATATCAGTTACTATTATCATTCTAATCTCTCTTTTTCTATGTACTGTATACTGTAGTGGTAGACAAGCCAGCAGCATGGAAGAAACTTGAGGGAGGTATGCTACATGAGAAATATGGAAGGAGAGAAAGGGACGAGATAAGAAATTGATTTTAATTGAGTCGTCTTAATTATTTAGAGAAACTTGACGAAACCAGGCCATGGCCTTCAAGATCAAGTCGCGACGATGATGATCGTCACCATCGTCATCGCCACCACCGCAGTGAGAGGAGCAAAAGGAGATGAGACTGCGAACGAAGGAGAGAGAGTGACTCCCATCGTCACCACAGTCACCATAGTCGCTACTATGATGACATACCACCGCGCTACCACGATCCTTACTACAAATGATATTTAGAGATAAGGTACACGGAGGAAAGACTCGCTGAAAGATATCGCGCCTCTGAAGCCGATCGCTATTATGAGAGAT